GGGAGGAGGGGCCTTCACAATTAGACTTTTCACGGTCCTTTTCTCTGAGCTCGATAAAACTCTAACAGAGCCAAAACTAAACAGGGAACACATGGGGGATCAGCCGTAACTTTGCCTTGTTAAGGAAATATTGAAAAATCTGAATTTCAAATTCTGTGACAGACCAGCATCTTTCGAGTGGAACAGATGTGTGGACAAATTGGTCTTTCGGCTCCCGCCCCTCAAGCCCAGATGCTGGAAAATGGAATAGGGCATTAGATTGTCCTGTGGTTCAGCCCAGTGGGAGAGCAGACCCTTCGGGCCAGGGTGGCCACTGAGTATTTCTTGGTGGCCTATTGTCATTCAGTATTTTACAATGTTTTGAAGTGATGTGATTCCACAAGCGTTTTCTTGGGTCCAGGCCAGACACTTGCCCACACAAGGCCACTGTGATGACATCCATTCTCTGGCGTGGAAGGGTCTTTGCGCTTGAACCCCTAAGGAGCTGATAATGATATTAAACTCCCAAACTTACAATTGCACTTTGTGGGGAAAGCTGCTTATCTTGGAGAGCTGACGGTCCTGGGGTTGAAGACCCAATGTCAAAGGCATGACCTATCCCAGTAAGCGTGGGATTGTCTTAGAGAGGCTGCCTGGTGTCTGACATCAGTCCCAGTCATCGGCAGAGGAGGGCTTTTGTGTTCCTTGGGTCTCGGATGGGCTGACTTATGACCCTACCAGGCCACTGAGCCAAGAGTGTGTGCTTTGCCTCTTGCAAACCCCTGACTCTCCTTTAAACCTTGGGGGCCATTAGAGGAAGCAGGCGGTGTCCAGGGTGACTTGACGCCCGTGGGCGTGTGTCTGGGGCAGGTTGCACTTTCAGCGTGAGCGCCAACTTTTAAAGCCGTGCCTCCTGGCCTTGTTCTTCCCAGACCAACCTGGGCTGGGCCTTCAGTTCCCACCAGTAATTGTGTTCCCATCAGTCAACCTGTACTTGGAGCGTCTTATGTACAAAACATGGTTTTTGAACACGGCTCACCTGCTCTGCATCTGAGCTCGCAGTGCAGGGCCCGGCCGCCCCTTCCGGCCTTAATTGAAAG